TACAGTATTTAGGTTAAAAAATAATAGTGATATTTTGCCTACATCAGCGCACCCAAACTTAACTATTTGCAGTATCCTAAGTATGATAACATGGTATATAATCTATGTCATCCATCTATTATTCTCTGGATAAAACCCTTCAGAGTTTGTGGTAGTAATTCAAAATCGTGATTCCTGATCATCCTTGATCTTCTTGTTTGAGAACAAGAATTTATTGTTAACAAAAAGCTGCCAAGATATGAATTAATACATGTAAACATTGTTATTTTCCTACTCTTTCCTCAAAAAGTAGATCAGTAAAACAGTTTGCATAAGCTTTTCTTTGAAGACTTGTGGACAGAGCCTCGATTTGTATACTCGTTTGTTATAACTTATCTCTGTGGTCTACTCATCTCTACTAATAGTACTTATTTCCTATAATCAATGTAAAAAGCATATACTAAATCAAATAACCTCAAAGTTCCATAGAATATTTTTATATCCATCCAGCTAATAATAATAATAATAATAATAATAATAATAATAATAATAATAATAATAATAATAATAATAATAATAATATCTTTATTGCCGTGAAACAAATATAAAATTGCATGGCATCCGTCAACATTTAATACAGGTATAACAAGCGACAGCAAAACAAATAAATACAACAGCATAAAACAGTTAATAATACGAATGATTAAAAAATTACACAGAACTTGTCATTTGATTGATTTAGAACCTCAGAGCAGCCGAACACCATCTACTCATTTGTGTCAAAAAACTCACCCACAGTATAATATTCTTTATTAATCAGATATCTTTTTAAAATCCGTTTGTACCTTTTTTCGTTCCTTTCTTTCCTTATTTGTTCAGGAAGACTATTCAAAAATCTCACCCCCGTCTGAGAGGGCAAGCTTGAGGCTGCACGGGACCTGTTTTGGGCCAACCTATATTGTTCTCTGCCTCTAGTTGAATACGAGTGAATGTCCTGGCCTTGTGTTAGGCTGCATTTAAATTTAGAAAACGTGGCAGCTTCCAAGATATACAGAGAGGCAAGAGTAAGCAGGCCTAGCTCCCTGAAGATGGTCCTACAAGACTCTCGCACCTGTAGTTTAGCCACTATTCTGAGTGCTCTCTTTTGAAGACGGAATAACCTGTGGAAGTCCGCTTCTGCACATCCACCCCAAATTTGAGCTGTTTAGTTCAAACAAATTATATTGCACTAAAACAAACCCAAAATTTTAAAGACTGCTCTAAAAAAAATTAGATCATTTAGTATTTTTTTTTTACTAAGTAAATTTAAATAGTCTGCCATCCTCCCACTGAATAAATGAACTTGTAAATGATTATAGCATTACAAACAGTGTAAATAAATAAGTCAACCCTACGTATGCCATTTCATTTTTATCCAAATGCTGAATTTGTATCACAAAAGCTGAATGTTTACAGCTGTTACGTTAAGAAAATGGTATAATACCAAAAGCTAGTCTAGAATGTATGTAAAAAAGGAGGTGTGGCATTGATGGCTAAAAATAATTTAAATAATCTAAAAATTAAGAAAATTTCAACCTCTATAATACAGGAAACATGTGAGGAAACATGTGTTTTTGAGTGTTGTGCGGTGAAGTGTTGTACCAACAATTATCAGTTTGTACTATTAGGAGTTTATCGTTCCCCAAGCGCAAGCAGTAAACTATTTTTAGATAAACTTAGTTTTGTGATTGACAGGCTCTTAGGAATTTGTAAAAATATAATTGTAGCTGGGGACATTAATATAAATGTATTGGATAAAAATCACACATATAAACAGTTTTCAAACATGCTAAAAAGCCACAACATGAGATATTTGGTGGACTTTCCCACAAGAGTTGTTAAAAATTCCAAATCCTCTATTGATAATTTTTTAACTAATATTACTGATGTACAGATGTATGTATATGGTTTAATTACTTGTTTGTCAGACCATGATGGTCAGGTACTTGAGATGAATATTACCCTTGATCATGACAAAAAAATCCATAGTAAAAACTTGTAGAAATCTTGGCCAAGAAAACATTAATTTGTTTAAATCAAAACTGAAAGATGAGAATTGGATGGAAATTTACATGTCTCCTAATGCATATAAGTACTTTAAGTTCCATCAGAATTTTTTTTATTATTTTAATGAGTGCTTTCCACAAATTACTCTTAGAACAGGCTCCAAAAAGAATTGCTGGATGAATACTAGGTTAAGAGAAGAGAGGGAAACTATTGTTAGGCTAAGTAAGTGGGCAAGAAATCAAGATAAAGAGTGCAAAGAGCTTAAAATTCGTCAAAGAAAATTTAAATTTGATCTTTTCAAAACAAAAAAAGAATATTATAACAAAACAATTAAACGTCCATCAAACATTTCAAAAACAACATGGTCAATTATTAACAAGGAAGTCTTTAACGGCAAAAAACAAAAAGAACAGGAAAATATGTCATTAAAAGTTAACAAAAAGATAGTTAACAATCCAAAAGAAATAACAAATAATTTTAACTCATTTTTTACAAAATCCTCAACGTTACATACAAAATTTTGTAATACTACATCAGACACCTCTTCAAAAAATATATGGCATACAAAATTGTATTTCGAACCAGTAACTGATACCGAAATAATAACTATTAAATACAATCTTTAAAAAATAAAGCAACACCTGGCTATGACGATTTATCAGTGAAAATGTTAAAAGAGGTCAAAGAGGAGATTAAATTAATTTTAATGCACCTAATTAACTCATCATTTGTAACAGGAATTTTTCCTAATGAGCTTAAAATTGCTAGAGTGGTACCCGTTTATAAGAAAAACTCTAAGAAAGATATTTCAAACTACAGGCCAGTGTCAATTCTCCCGGCAATATCAAAGGTATATGAGAAGGCAGTGTACAACAGGTTGAACAGTTTCTTGAACCAGTATGATCTAATTGATAATGAACAACATGGTTTCCGTGCTGGTAGATCGACAGTTACATCAGCGGTTAGTTTCATTGAAGCCGTGATAAATTCACTAGATAGGGGATTAAATTCAGCTGGCATCTTCATGGACATGTCCCAGGCATTTGATAATGTAGACCACCACCAATGAGCCCAGATAGTTTACCTAAAGAAACAGCTACCAATTGCCAATTTTTTAAAGTTGGTGAGCTAAACTTGATAATTTGGGTATTAAAGGAGTCACTCTCAAATGGTTTAAATCATACTTAGAGGAACGTTACCAATTTTTGGAAATATCAACTTTGTCAAAAAATAACATCATCCAAAAAACAAGATCTAATTTATCAAATATATCATCTGGTGTCCCACAGGGATCGATTCTTGGTCCTCTTTTATTCTTATGTTACCTTAAAAATCTTCCAAATTCTCTAAAAGACCCAGGTAGTAAGATAAGTATATATGCAGATGATATTAATCTTAACACAATTGGGAAATCCCTAACTGATTTAGAAATGTCTGCTAAATCAGAATTAAAAAGTTTGAATCAGTTTTTAAAAGACCATCATTTAGTACAGTACTTAATACTAGTAAAACTAATTTCATTCTTTTCAAAACAAAAGGAGACAAAAATGATAAAAGTATAAATTTAGATATAGATACAAATTCCATTGCTCAAATTAAAACCTCAAAACTATTGGGTTTGATAATAGATGAGGATTTAAGCTGGAATGAACATGTTGAGTATTTCATAAAAAAAACTAAAGTCTGGTATATTCGTCCTAAGAACAATGTCATATCTCTGTGAAGGATTAGTCCTTAAAATGATATATCATGCTCATATTGAATCACATATTATATATTAACTATGGAATTAGTATTTATGGTGGGACAAAGAAAAAGAATTTAAAAAAGATTTTGAAAATACAAAAAAAGCAATCAGGATAATACATCAATTAAAATATAACCAGTCCGTCAAATCTTATTTTAAAGGGATGGGCATTTTTACAGTTCACGCCTTATATATTTTTGAAACAATTAAATATTTTTTAAATATTGCTGAGACTCAAGAATTGCCTGTGCATAATTATAATACAAGGGGTAAAAATTATTTAGTTAAAGAAAAACCAAGACTGGAACTTTTTAAAAATAAACCTTCTTATATTGGAAACTATTTTTTTAGAAAACTTCCGAGCTTTTTAAAAAACGAAAAAGACAAATCTAAATTTATGAAAAAACTGAAGGCATTCATACTTGACCTTGCACCTTACAAAATAGAAGATTATAGTAATTTCAATTTAAAATAATGTAGCCTATAGTATTTTGTTTAAATGTTTCTTATTGCTAATTTAGGTAGTAAGTAACAATAGACACCATTCATGTACGAAAATTTGTACTGTGTGAATAAAGACTCTTTGATCTTGAATCTTGAATCTAGCATCGGCTACTAGACTTAAAAAAAATTAAAACTTAATTTTTAAAAAACCGAAACCCTAAACTAAAATTATGGCTTCGACATTCCCTAGTTCTCAAAAATAACTTTCTTTCAACACAAAAATCATGAAAATCCATCAAGTGGTTGATTCAGAAATGTGAAATATAAAAACCTTGTCACATTATTTAGTATATATGATTATCATGGATAAGGTAACATGATTAAGTACAAAAATCTTGATTTGTACTGAAATGTTTGGTTATACAACTGTAAATAACTGAAATAACAAGAAACAAATTGTAAACAAAAACATGGTGTATGGTTGATAATTAATTGTTCTTTTTATGATTAATTGATATTTATTTGCCTTTATAGTTGCACTATAATTACCAGAGGAACTCCAAATAAAAATTCCTTGGAATAATTAATTAGTCATGAAGCCTAATTTGGAAGCAATCACAAATTGGAATTATCGAATTATGTCTCTTGAAAATTAGGTGGTACAAAAAATACACTGGCTAGAAAACAGCTGACCGACATCTTGTCATTTAAATGGAATTTGATTAAATGTTTGATGTTAATTTAATTTTATCAAAAAATATTTAAATGGCCAATATTGTTCCAGGGAAGTGAACGTGCTGCCAACACAGTCCCTCAGCAGAACTACTAATGAACCTGTTACGTCTGTCAAGCAAACTTACGAACAGGTAATCCTATAATACTGAACATATGCATTTTCATTTTCCATTATGTATGGTAGCCTACAATAGTCTCTCAAAGTGAACTCTCATTGATAATACCAGGAGAAAACTGTTACTTCAGCTGAACACTGGTTTAGCTGAAGTTTAAAACCAACTAAAGAAGATTTTCCTTGATATTAGCTATAGAGATAAATTGTAGGTCAATGTTAAGAAAATTTTATGAGTCTGTGCTTTATTTAAAGGACGACGTTGTGTAACAGTATATGATGCCCAAAGTTAAGTAGAGTTAATGTATGATGGATTTATAATTGTTTGTTACTAACCTTTCATTTAGGGATGGACGGGTCCCGAAATTTCAGGAAATTTTCAGGGGAAAAAATATTCCCGATTTTTGGGCAGGCGTTACATTTGAATCAAGGAAATTTTCGGGATGGGATTTGATCCGATCATCGGCAAATTTGCCGCTTCGCAAGTGACGATTACGCCGCTATCGGGAGAGATGTTCACGGTAGTTCCGCGAACGCAGGAAGCGAAGTTACGACGATCACACCGTGACCACAAAGTCGTACCGTCGGTCATTTCGTGACCACGGAGTCATACCGTCGATCATTCCGTGACCGCGAGTCATACTGACGATCGCGCCGTGACCTCAAGGTCATAACGACGATCGCGCTGTGACCGCGGAGTCATATCGCCGATAACGCCGTGACCATGGAGTCATACCGACGATTTCGCCGTGACTGTGAGTCATAACAATGATCACGCCGTGACCACGGAGTCATTTCGACAATCACGCTGTGACCGCGAGACATTTCGACCGCAAGTCACAAGTTTCTATACCTGTAAATTTTTACCCTTTTTAGGTTTTGATAGATCAGTGCCACAAACCGGAAAAATTGATTTTGTTTGTCTTTTTTGGTAACTGCAATACTCAAGACATTCTTTTTATGCACAGGAAAAAATCCCGTCCTGTCTCGTCCCAAAAATCGGGAAGGAAATAAAAGTCCCGTCCCGTCCCGAACTAAAATCAATCCCGTCCATCCCTACTTACATTGGATACGGAAACTAAAGCTCTAATAGAACATATGAAACAAATAACCTCTGGTGAAGTAATCTGCCAGGAAGTAACTTCAAAATACTGTGATCACAAGTCCTTCAAAATATGAATCAACCTAGAAGACATTGGTAATGCCAAAAAGCCTCATATGTGGCCTAAAGAAGTGAGAGTTGATGACTTTCAACCCTTTACTCTCAATAACCGTTTTTTAGGGAAATGGAGGTGGACTCACCCACCAAGGACTTAGTGTTTACGGCCTAGGACTAATGAGGGTGTTATGTTTAGTGAGGCCTACATGCCCAACTCTGAAAACTGGTTAAGTTTTAATTCATTGTGTAAAAGTTCATTTTTATCTGACAAGATCCATCCAGTCATCTGGTCAACGATCGCCAGTTGGTAATAATAATGGTAAACATCGACATTCAAAACCAAACACTAGTCTACTATAATCTTGTTTGCAATTGACATCACCGCCAGCACACCCGTGTGTCATAATGTAATGTTTAAGTAAAGAAAGGATACCGTCTGTTATTAAAAATTCTAAACTTAAAAGAACAACTAAATGAAGTCCTACTGAAGAAATCTGTATTTTTCTTGTAGGCAGTCCTCTAAGAAAAGTAAATTTTTCTTGTAATTTTGTGGAGGGAGATGGTCTTGGAATATCAATGACAGTTTAGGGAAGGGGAGGTAAATAAGAAGAAAGAATAAAAAAAGAGAGAAAAAAAACAAATAGGTTACAAAGGCCATTTAGATGATGGCACAGCGAGGACTGCGGTATAACTTACAGAAAATAGATTACATGAGACTTGTGAGTAACAGATGAATACTTCTGTGCTACACTATGTCAAGAAAGTCGCTCATTTTAGCCATTTAAACTAAGGTTGTTTTATTTCTGGAGTCGGTTTAATTTACTGGGATTTATAATCTCATGACGATAAATTCTATCTATGTGTTATTAATGCTTACACTTTCAAAGAATTACGTTATATCCTGTCCTGACCAAAACAGTAGCAAAGCTACATTTAACAAGGTGTTTCACTCTATTCTTCTCTCATCCTTTGATCATATTCAGATCTAAAGCCTGGTTTACACAGGTCAAGTATGTCAGGCGAGTTGTTCGGCCCAGTTGTTGATTTGTTCAACTCGCCCAAATAATTTTTATTACCTCTCTGTGGTGTACGGTATTCCTCCGTGGACAGATACCGTAGCTGTTGTGCAAAATGTTTTTTTTTAGTTTTAAATGACACGTCAAGAGAAAGAGTCTAATGCTGAATTTAGAACTTAAATCACTTAATTAGATTATTAGAATAATTGAATCACCATATAAATTCAGAGGTTGCTTAGCTTTTTTTTGCAAATATCTTTCAAATGGTGAAAAAATCAACCAAAGTGTAAGGTGATATTCTGAAAGAGAATAAATTTTTTTACCAATTACTATTATGCATTTAAAAAAAAAAACTCAATTAAGTCATAAAAAATTTTCCTCCAAATAAAAAATTTGAAAACCCCCGTTTTAAATGTATTTCTAATGGAAACATGTTTTTTTTTACTTTTACCATGAATTCCAACAAAAACAAACTTTCATAAATATTTGCGAATATACAGGGAGAGTGAGCTTTCTTTTTTACGATCCATTAGTTAATAAAATCGGTCTAGTAGAACTTTAGATTAAGTAGTACAGTACAAAGATTTTCAAAACTGAATTTTGTAAGATTAGATTTACGTACAGCATAAATCATAAATTTTTATTGGTTGTTAACTAAAACGACTCATGATACACAGCAAAATAATGCAACGTAGGGCAGGACCATAGATATAGATATTAGAAAAGATATACGTATGCGTAATCTATGGCAGGACCAAATAACTGTTCAACTGAACCATTGAGTACTGAACTAACCTCAAAAGTCAACTGATGTTTCGCGGGGAAATCGTGATGGTGGGTGTAGTTACAGGGCCAAGCAACTCGGTTTTTAACTAAACCACTCGTCTCAACTGACCTCTTTTTACCGACTCGCCCGTTACTCGACTCGTCTGCATGTCTACAACAAGCCAGTTGGAGAGCAATGGCAACTCGCACACTGACTCGCCTGCCGTACTTGACTCGTGTAAACCAGGCTAAAATACTTTTTACAAAGTGTGACTTTGTCTTAACCAAGTGATAAGCTTGAAAGAATTATGAAGGTTATAAAATATACTTGTGAATTTGAAAATTCTTTTAACTGTTTTAGGCTACTGGGCAAATGCTTTTGCCGTCCGATGTTGATGAATTCCTATCAGTCGCTGGCACTGAAATTTCTTTCATGCGGGTGAGTAAAGCTGACCCTCACAGTAGCTTAATTTGTCATCTTTGGTACTGGACGAGATTGGATTTTTAGTTCAAGAAACGACAGGATATTTTATTTTTTATAAAATTTTGAGACGATAACAAGACGGGATTTCCCCTCTCATACATAACAGGAAACTAATTTTGTAACATTTTTAAATACCTACTGATTTATAACAAACGACTGGTTAAATACAAAAATAATAATAATAGGCAAGATACTAATTTTGTAACATTGTTAAATTTCTACTGATTTATGACAAATGACTGGTTAAATACAAAAATAATAATAATAGGCAAGAACATTTCAAATCTTTTATTAAAAGACTAATAAAAGACATCAGTAACTTTATTTTGTTTGAGTTATTAAGCCTCCGAATCACTGATCAATACACTGGTGAAGGTGTTTAGTAAACACTGAGGGCTTTGCACTCAGTAGCTGTCGGATCAATAAATAGGCCACCTGGGGTAGAGAAAGGGGTCAGTCGCCCAGGGCAGAGTGCCCAGAAGAGTTGAGTGAGTACTGGTTGCTCTATCTTAGGGTTGAGCCCTTTAGTTGCGAGTTTTTGTAAGGGAAAGTTTTGTTTTACTGGTATTATAAGTTATTTAGGATTTGTGATTTTTGATAAGGGGAATTCTTTTGGGTCGGATATTTTGTCTGATTAAATTACGAGGAAGTTGGTTAGTTTTTGGAGATTTTCTATACTCAGAGTTCCAGCTGCCTCCAGGACGTTCCCGACTAGCCATTCATTAGTGAGTTTGTTGTTTATAACTGTTTTATTGTTGTATAGGTTAGTTGATTGATTTAAGATAATAAAAAGATTCAGTACTTTGCATTTAATCTGTCTTCTCATTTAACAGCCACCCAGCTCATAACTAGAGTTATATAAGATTAAAGATCCGGGTTTCACTAAAGCTACGCTCCCATGTGTGTATGCAGGATAACCTGTGATGTGTGAGGGGGTTTCCTTCATATTACACTATTTCCTATTGGAACAGGTAATAATGATTAATAACCACAACACCTTCCTACCTTAATATTTTATACTAAAGTCAAAGCCTTTACTGTTTGTGTTTACGAATTATTGTTGTAAATGTAAAGGTAAATCCCAATATAAATTATCACGTTGTTACAACTTGAAATTTATTGAACCAGCAACATTTAAGTTGCATAGAGAAAACGAGACTTCTGTCGCGTCAAAAAGTATAATAAATAAAAGAAATGTCATAAACACTTAAAACATATATTTACGCTTATACTGTTACTTACAAGACGGAAGACGGTAAATATACAAAAAAGATGGTAACTGGTGATCGATTTCGATTGGACACTCCAATCATCATCAGACTCAATAGGCGAATGACAAGAATCTTGAATGGCGTCCCTAATTATACCCTATTGGCTACTGGAAGCACCGGCCAGTACATTTTTAGTATACTTTGGGCACTTTTCTAACAATGGGGGACTTTAATATTTTATAACAAAGAAACTATTGATCTAATCATCATGAAATTTTGACATATTTTAGAACATATACTTATAAAGCATATTTATACGTTTTAGAATTTTTCATCGAAATGGCTTTTTATTTCAGGGACGGAACAAGTAAGAAACTATGATAAAAGCTTGAATTAGAGCTCTTCAAAAGATAAAGATACAAATGAAAAGTTCAGTTGCACATTAGCTAAGTGGTCTTGAACAATTCAAATGTACAAACCTACTTGATTGCAGGCAGACGGTGCCTGCAATCTGACCGTGGCAACCTATGCTAATGCATCAACTTACTTACTTGATAATGTCCCACTAGCATCGCTCCTGCGACGTGGTCGTCAAATGGGTAGAAAAACAATAATAGGCCTAATTGAACAGATCTTCTACTTTAAAATAGGCCGCTTCACATAAATATTCCTTTAACATCTTCTTAAATTTATTGAAATTTTGCTCTTGGATAATGTTCCTTGGTAGTGAGTTGTAGATCTTGACACTACTAAAATATGGGCTCTTGCTGGCCAAAGTTGAGTTAACTTGGGGTACATGTACTTGATTAGCTCTTCTCGTGTTGTACTGATGGACCAGATTGTTTGTGAAAAAGATGTCCGGATTATTTCTCACCAAGATGGCAGATTCTAAAATAAATAGTGATGGGAGGGTTAAAATTCCAAGGTCCTTGAACAGGGGCCTACTGTGAGCAAGACGTTGAGCACCACACATTCTCCTAATAATTCGTTTCTGGAGGAGAAAGATCCTATTGGCCATGGTACTACCTCCCCAGAATACTATTCCATAAGATATTATACTGTGAAAACATCCATAATAAACTTTTAACAAAATGTCAGTCTGGACCAATTTCTGGAGCCTAGTAATTAAATTGATTACAGATCTTAATCTTGAAGCTATTGAATTAATATGTACATCCCACTTTAGATTTTCAGTTATGTGCAGGCCAAGATATTTTACTTTTTCACGGGAAGTGAGTGCAACCCCATCTAGCACTAGTTGAGGAGCTGGTTCAGGTTTTTTCCTATTGTAAAATTCCATAAGGTTTGTCTTATCAGAGTTCAAGATCAAGCAGTTTTCGTTACACCAATTTTGCATTTCAATTAGACTAGATTGAGTATCTTCAATAAGACTGACACGATCAGAGTTACAGATTAGGTGACATACATCGTCAGCAAAAAGCCACACATTTCCAGATGTTATGGAGCCAGGTAGGTCATTTACATAGAGCAAGAACAATAGAGGCCCTAGGTTTGATCCCTGTGGGACACCCACATTCATGGCAGGGGATGGAGCCGACTTATATGTGCGTAGAGTATTGTCATTCCCCAAATGCTTGAGTGATACGACCAGGTGGCGGTCTCTTAAATAAGAGAATATCCAATGCAGAGGTCTTCCTGCAATTCCCAGGGAAAGTAGTTTACGAAGCAGGACACTATGGTTTAGCAGGTCAAAGGCCTTGGTCATGTCATAAAATAGGCATAAAAGGCTCTCAGAAAGATCCAGGTGGTTATAGATGTTCCTCAGGAGGGCAACTTCTGGTCGATACTGTACTTTTGGGCTTTGTGAAATTTGGAGTTAGTGAAATAGTGATAATTTACAACTTATACTTTTGGACATAATGAAATTTGGACTTAATGAAACGCTCTGTTTATTTAATATTTTTACTTTTGGACTTTGTGAAATTTGGACTTAGTGAAACGCTCCCATTTTGTTCTTGCGAACACTTTGATTTTTTAAAAACATTGATTCATAGTTTTACAAAACACTTAAATACAAAACACTTAAATACGAAACACGTAAAAATGGCCAATAACTATTACTGATCGGTCAAGCGGCGGGCTACATGGAAGTAGACTCTAGTCAAACTGGATTCTGTAAAACAGCTTTTAAGAAATAAAAGTAACGTTTTTCTTGTTTATTATTACTCACAATTATAATTTATCTGCCTAATTTATTTTTCACATTTTACTTTTTTTAGGAGGAAAAGGATGCTCTTATGCAAATAATGGAGCCTGGTTTGACATTGCTTGGTTTTAAACCAGCGTCAGTTGTACAAGAAGGACAGCACTGTGGTAGTGCATCGTTTGTTTACCCAGAAGACACAGTGATAAAAGGTTAGTTTGTAAGTTAGGTCTGGCAATCCTATGTTTGTTTAGAGTTCATTTTTATTAATATTATTTAGTCAATGTTTTTAAGGGACTATTACGGACATTTTTCATCAGGATAGGAATAACATAGTTTTCACAATGTCTTGAGATCTGGAATCTGCTTCTGTCCACAGGTGAGAAGGTACCTCAACCTATTAGGGCTGTCTAAGTTTGCCTTCAAATTTAATCATTTCATCATGTTAGAACATTAAAATAACCGCCAATTTCGCATCTGACATTTCATAACCACAAAACACACTACCCACTGTCAGTGCTGTCAACAGAATCACATTTGTCATCTGTCCAAGAGTTGGCTTACAACCTTCAGCTTGTGCAGTCAGTTCTAAACATAATAGACCTCATCCTCGACCAAGAGTTGGCTTACGACCTTTTACTTGTGTAGTCAGTTCTCAACATAATAGACCTCATCCAAGAGTTGGCTTACGACCTTCAACTTGTGTAGTCAGTTCTAAACATAATGGACCTCATCCTCAGCCAATAGACCTTCAACCAATAGTTGGCTTACAACTTTCAACTTGGGAAGTAGTTTCTCAACAGAATAGACCTCATAGCATCTAAGTCTCATTTTTTTCATTGCAGCAAAACCAATCCAGTATATTATTGAACAGTCAACCCAAAAATCTTGCACAATTTACCCTTTACTTAAGTAGGCCTATTAGTAAAGGGTAGATAATGGATAGACCTAGAGTGTACAGTTGTGGAGTCTGCAACAAGAACGCCAAAAGTAGTGCCATACTTTGCACAGGTCCCTGTGGTAAATGGATCCATTTCAGATGCATAAATTTGACATACTCTGATGTAAAAATGATGTCCAAATTAGAATTAGGTAAATGGAATTGTCCTTCATGTATAAACGGTTTGGTTACTGAAACATCTAATATCAATGTGGAAAATGAGTTTGTTGAATCTGAATTAAACCTTTCCCTCGCTGCAGAAATTGGTGGCGCTATCCTCCAAGAAAATGAAAACTTGAAACAACAGTTGCATGAAATGAAGAATAAAAAGTCTTTCTATGAAATGGAACTTGAAGATAAGTTGCAGCAAAAAGAAGTTGACATAAAAACAATGACTTCAACTCACAATGAGAGAATAGAGGAAAAAAATGCACTGATTAAAACTCTTGAGAGTAAGTTAAGAACCGAGTTTCAGCTTAGGGAAGAGCTTATAAAACATGATGAATCGAACAAATGTACTAAAACTAAACCTATATCTAAAGACTATCAAACACAAATTATTCTACAAGAATTAAATCTAAAAAAACAGGAAGTAAAAAATCTTAATGCTATTATTAAAGTGTTAGAGCAAGATAAAAATACCCTAGAAAGTGAGGTATCAAATCTCCGTTCTCAGAACTCTAATCTGTGTTTGCACTGTTACCCAGTTTTAAAAAACCTTCAGAGTAATGATAGGAGTGTATTACAAAGGCCAATTCCAACTCAAAATGAAAGTCTATCATTTAATATTCCATGTAGTAATCGTTTTGATATTCTTACAGCACATGATGCTAATGTAGCAGAAAACGATGACAGGAGCGATATTTGTGCTATTGGACCTGACTCTTCCGCACCTGAAGTCACCAATAAGTTTATTAGTAAGCCTGTGAAGAAAAAGATTTCTGGAAGGAAAACATCATCTAAACTGACAGCTTTCAAAGATACCCATTCGAATCAGGCCTACAAAAAAGCAGAAGACAATCCAAAAAAGCCTGATTATAGGATGTTGGTGTGCGCTGATAGTCATGGACGTGAGTTATCTCGGAACATAAATAATATTCTTCAGTCCCACGAAACGGTGGCCTTTGTAGCTCCTGGTGGGGGGGCGAAGCTTGTTCTTAACCCAGCAAACCTGAGGGGTGAGAAGCTGACAGAGGAAGATGTATTAGTAGTTTTGTGCGGGACTAATGATGTTTCACGTAATGAAGCACATGAAGTTATAAGTATAATAAAGGATGCTCTTGACGAACACGTTAATAAACATATAATTCTGGTGAATATTCCTCATAGATATGATCTTGCAGAGTGGTCGTGTGTTAATGAGGAAATTCGGAAAACAAATAGAATCCTGAGTGAACTGAGCTGTAATTACTCCAATGTAAAGATGGTAAATGCATATGAAGCAGGGAGGCACCTTCATACCCACCATGGCTTGCACCTGAACAACAAAGGTAAACTATGGTTATCCCAAAAAAATCTGTGGGGTAGCAAAGTCTTTTTACGCTCCCATGGAGAAGATCGATCTTCAGACCCATAATCCATTGTCAGAAGTTCCTAACATGGCTGCTGTAGGGGAGACCGGGGCACTATTGGACAAAAAAACCTGTTTCACATCAGACATTTTGTTCATGATGAAAACAAAAATTTAATGGTTTTTCCCTTGCATGTACTTGTTCTTGAACATCCCCTAGTGCATAAAAAAATGGTTTAAATTGATATTACACAATTTTATCATATTTGTGGACCAAGTTTTTCAAGCCTACATTTTGTCCAAATTTGCCCCGGCGGGGCAGTTTTGGACAGACCATAATTTTTAATGGGGCACAATTGGACACTGCTGAAAGTTGGGACTAAAAACAAATAACAAGCACAATTTGGTGGTTACTGATAAGTATAATATTTGAGTCATTTAATAAGACATTAAAAGACGCTTGAAAAGAGAAATAAGTGTGAAATATTAGGCTATTTAAAGTTACATTTACACAAATTGTCTGAATACAAAAATGTCCTTGGTTAACTTATTTAAAGTTACATTCAGATAAATTTTCTTTGAAAACAAAACAGTTAGCCGCACGTGATGTTCCTCCAGTGATGTCTGGCTGACGCATCTTGTAAAGAATGTCTGTAGGGTCTACTACACTAACTTCGGGAGTGTCTGGAAAGAAGAACTTGTAAGAGTTGTCTCTCTTCTTCAAAAACTTCACAGTGAACCCATTCACACAATGCTCTTCAATCTGACCGATGAAGTGGTAGTACACATTTTTTTTTGTAGCAAACTTAGTCAAAATGAAATCGTTTACTTCAAAAGATTGGTCTTCCAAAGGTGCAAAAAAATCGTCTTCATCCTGTGAGAATTCTTCAGGGCTGTCCCCTCCATCATCAAACTTCAGTTCATCATCCTCGGTGTCACTTGAGTCATTGTTCTTGTAACAAAGTTTCTTTGAAATGCCTTCAAATTTCATTTTTTTATTCTCCTTTCGTGCTGCTCTCTCTGATTTTCGTTTTTCAGCTAACAAGCGTTTTTCTTCTTTTTCCTTTGTCTGTTGTAAAAGTGCATCTTTCTCTGGGGTATCCGTTAAAACACGGGATCGACCTTTTTTTCGCCCTGGTTTTTGATTAGTTTTTGGTACATATTTGGGGAAGGGCATTACATCTTTTGGGGAGATTATTAAGCTATCAGCAGATAGGCCTAAGTCTGAACTGTCTTTGTTTTTTTCTTGTTGAGGGGTTGAAGGTGCAGTCTCGATAGGCCTATTATTTGATGGACTGTTACTTGTGGATGAGATCAAAAGATCCATTTCAGAGTCAGAATTTTCTTCAGTAGGCCTACTATTTCTTGACAAATCAGTTGTATGGATTGTGGATGGTGCGCTAAATGATGTACTTGGCACAACTATGTCTGGATCAGCTACTACAACAGAAGGGCGATCAGTCACACTCGCACCTTTAAAATCTTCACCTGTAAAGATATTACGGTTCATTGGGTGGATACCTGCTTTTCGAAAACCACTCTTAATGTTTGACTCGGTGAATGATTCAACAAAAGGCTTTGCTGTTAGTTTGGCAATTTCCCTAATAGTGATTGTGTGACCGGGATTCTCTGATAGCCAGATGTTATATTCTGTAGCAAGACGCCTTTTAAATGGTCCAAAAACTGAAGTATCTAGCGGTTGCATGCGGTGTGTTGTATGGGGATGAAACGTTAGTAGATGAATGCCATTGTCCCTGCAGTACAAAACCACATCTAGACCAACATGTGATTCGTGGTTGTCAAGAATTAAAACTAAAGGATTTGATTTTGAACACTCTTTTACCACCTGGATGTGTTTCAGTGTCTCTAAAAAAAGTTCTCCATTCATCCAACCATTATGGGAATAGAGGTCTTTAGAACCCTCAGGTGATCCTATCATATAGGCAAAGTTGGGGCGTTTCCTGGGAAATATATAAACTGGTGGTAAGTAACTTCCATCAGCGCAAATGAAAGCACAGAAGGTTACCTGCTCCCCCCTTTCTGCAGACACTACTTGCCCCACTTGTTTAGTGCCCTTAGCTGCTATAACTTTGGGTGCCTCTAACACAGTGCTAATACCACTCTCATCTAAATTCACAATTCGTGAAGGTGAAGGATTCACCTTTGCAAACAAAGTTTCTAAATTATCAAAGAAAATGCCAACATTGTGGGCATTAAAACTTGTGTTACGTGATAAACTTGTGTTTTCGGCTTGCCGAAGTGAAAGATCTGGATGCCTCTTCATGAAATGGTACATCCATTCTTCTCCTGCTAACTTTGTAGTGTGCCATTTTTGAGGAATACGCTCGTTGAGGTTCAGGGCGACAGCATACTTGTAGGCTAGTTCTCTAGCCAAAGCATAAGTGAGGCCATAATTAATCTTTGACCTCTCTATACAATAATCCACAATCATAGCTTCTTGTTCAGGTGTAAAAACTTGCCTATGAGAGTATTTTGAACGAAAAACTGGGGCCATATCTTCTGTAGTAATTAACTTTACAGGTGGTTGAGGCATGTCTTCCTCCTCATTTTCCAAATCTAATTCTTCAGGCTCACATCCTTTATTTTCCTTTTTTTTAATTTTGCTTAATCTAAAATGCAGTGTTGATTTTTTTAGTCCATGTGCTTCTGCTGCTTCCCTAATAGAGCGGTAGTTTCCATTTCTGTAGTCATTAAGGGCCTGTACTATTGCTTCTTCTGAAATGTCCACTCTATCAGTCTTC